TCCTAAAAAGAGATGTGAAATACGTATAGTATATTAGTTCAAGTTATAAATCCTCTTGATAACTTATGTAAGAATTATAGATTTATAGTTATTAGAGACTCACAAGAGAAGGCTTCTTGTAATTCATTATTACCAAAAGTTATTGTCTTAGAGGAGATTTTACAAGAGATAGGTTTTTCTTCAGATATTTATACATCTTATACTTTATCACGTCAAGATTTTGATATTAATTTATCAAACTTCCTACTAATTTATAAGAAAAATAAGCGTCATTACTATGCAATATTTGAAAAAAATAGAGATCACATGCTAACTATAATCTAAAGTATTTTATGGAATTTCTTCTTAAACTACTAAAGGAATTTAAAGTATTATTTTACTGAGAAAAAGATTATAGAAATTAACTTACACACTTAAAACTTAAAATAGATAGAAATCTAAAAATGATTCTTCCTAATGCTTGTTTAAGCAATAATATAATTACAGATCCCTCAAAATCAGATCTTAATTCTTCTCAAGATATATGTCATGTCATCAATAATACTATTAGTAAAGTTAGCATAATGGAGAAAAATATACCTAAACCTTTGATTTTTTTATCTTCAGAGTTTCTCATTAAAAATAAATCTGATATTAATGCTCTTATTCTTCTTTTATAGTAAAAATTCCAAATATTGAAAGAAAAATTGGAATAATGACAAATCAAGATTGCCTTTGAAATATGGAATAACCATAATTATTAGAAAAAAGAGCATAAGAGTATGAGTAAGGCCGACTTCTTAAAATATAAGTAAAATTTTGAGGCTAAAATGAAAGTTCTTACTACTTTGCACAAAAAAGAGTTGAAAAATAAATCTTTAGCAATCATTGAATATGTATAATTGCTATTTTAAAATAATATGATCAGAATACTCTGACTAGGAATATATCTAGTCATATATTTTGAATAAGAGGATTTTTATCATCTCTTATAATTAATATAAGAAAAAATTTAAATAAAAAATTAATATTCTGATACTTAAATTATATAAGAGGTTTTTGTGTTATGTAATTTAGGATAATAATTTGTGCTAGGCATTTTATACAAAGAGATTTTTGTATTATATAATTTTAATCAAGATATAATCAAAATAGCAAAGTGCGTAGATATAACAAGACAGTAAAATATATAGGTATAATGGATTAGCAATTCACACAGATATGACTAAATTTTTGGAACAGTGATCCATGATATAATGAAATAGCAATCTGCACAAGTACAGCTAAATTTTTGGGATGGCAAGATTACATTTTGGTTATATAATTTGGAATAATAAGATTACATTTCAATTATATATTTTTGGGTTAGCTAGATTATATATTGATTATATATTTAGTAACATATGTTGGAATAGCATGGCTATACAAGAAAGGATTCTAGAACATAAAATTATATTACGCTTAATTTTTAGGATAGCAAGATTACATATTTTTTTTGTTATCTGAGAAGTAGTTCAAACAAGTCAAAAATAATAAAATTGCTGTAACCTTGCTATTCTAACCACATTAAGATTTTTTTATATCCATATCCATTATACCATACCATCTCTATATCCAATATCTCATCCTCATAACAGAAAACAGATATACTTATTATAATACTTTGATGTAATATCAGATATGTTAATAATTTGATATTACGTGTCTTATTATCAGATACTTTGGTGTAATGCCAAATATGTTAACAATTCAATACTACGTGACTCATTATCAGATACTTTGATATAATATCAAATATGTTAATAATTCAGTACTACATACCTCATTATCGAATACTTTGGTATAATATCAGATATGTTAATAATTTGATACTACATGCCTTATCATCGGATACTTTGATGTAATATCAGATATATTAACAATTTGATACTACATACCTCATCATCAGATGCTTTGATATAATACCAGATATGTTAATAATTTGGTACTATGTCAGGTGATATTTAAATAAATCATAATAGTTAGTAATTCAGCACTATATTAATATATTATCAAACTTAAATACCTACCTTTCTATATATTTAACCACTTTTTTACTATGTATATTCTTAGAATATATTTCTAATATCAAAAATTATGATAATTAAAATCAGTATATTTTAATATAATATACTCAATAATATTTTTTGATAGCATAGCTTGATAACATTATCAATAGTATTTATATAATATACTTAGCATACATATTTGATAACATTAATTGATAGCATAACCTATATCATTTCCCAATACTATATATCTATTTATGTATCATAAAATATATATTATAATACTGATAATGATGTCATATTCCTGTTATCAAAAATGTATCATAAAATATATATCATGATACTAATGATGGTGTTGTATTCTTTTCATTAAAAATGTGTCATAAAATATATATCATGACACTGATAATGGTGTCATATTTCTGTCATCATGATACATACTTGGGATGGTTATAGTTTGAACTAAGTGGTATAATTATAGTCTGTATAAACTATAATTATACCACTTTTTCAAATATATAAATTATTATAGTATTACTAATTAATACTATTTAAATATATATATTATTATAAAGAACTATAATCTACTATTACAATATTAAAAATATTGATATTATAAATATTAATATTTAGATAAATATTTATATAGATATTTTAAATATCAATATTTTATTAATTTTTCAAATATTAATATTTATATAAATATTTCATTATTCTACTAAAAATTAAAAAGAATATTTAAATATATTATTCTAATAAGTACATAAAAAATATATGATATGTAAATTAAAAATATAAATCTCAAATAAAAAGAATAAAGTATAATATTTAAAAATAAAAATATAATTATAAAGAATAATTATAATAAAATATATATATATATTTATATAAAAATAAAAATAATTATATAATAAATAATAAAATAAAAGAAAAATAAAATTTTAAATAATTAAAAAAAGATTATAGAATTAAGAAATTTTATATTATTATAGTAATATTAGTATGAAAAGTAATAGCAAACATATTTTTTATCTATAACTTAATAAAAAATTGCTAAAAATTTACAAAAATTTAATATTATATTTTTAAGATAACAGAAACAAAATTTTCTAAGATTACAAAGTATATTAATTTAATAATATTTTGTGAAATTATATATTAAAGATAATAGACTGGAAGCTATCCTGATTAAAGTACTATAAAAAATTATTTAAAAATATTTTTTATAAATAAGTATAAAAATAATTTTATTGAAATATATTTAAAGATATAAAAAATATATTTATAATTTAAAAAAATTTTAGTTAATATTTATTAATTAAATATCAGTCAAAAAAAGATTTAATTTTGATAAATTTCATAATAAAATATAGTAAAAATATTATTTTTATTATATTTTATTATGAAATTTATCAAAATTAAATCTTTTTTTAACTAGTATTTATTTAGTAAATATTAACTAAATTTTTTTTAAATTATAAATATATTTTCTATATCTTTAAATCTATTTTAATAAAATTATTTTCATATTTACTTATAAAAATATTTTTAAATAATTTTTTATAGTATATTAATCAGAATAGTCCCAGTTTATCACCTTTAGCATATAATTTCACAAAATATTACTATATTAATATGCTTTATGATCTTAGAAAATTTTGTTTTTATCATTTTAAAGAATATAATGTTAAATTTTCATAAATTTTTAGCAATTTCTTATTAAGTTATAGATAAAAAATATATTTACTATTACTTTCTGTACTGACTGTAATAATTAAATTTAAAAAAAATATTATTAATTAATTATTATATTTAAAATAATTAAATAATATAATTTTTAATTAATATTAAAATATCATTTTTTAAAATTATTATATATTAAAATTTTAATATAATTAATAAAATATAATATATAATTAACTTTAAGAATAATATTTTAATACTTAATAATTAAAATTATATAAAAATATTATTATTTTAATTATTTAGTTATAATAAATTAAATTATATATTTTTATATAATTTTAAAAATTAAATATTAAAATATTATTATTGAAATTAATTATATATATTTTATAATATATAATAATTTTAAAAATAGTAATTTTTTAAAATAATAACTTAATATTTATTAATTAGAATTATATAAAATATTATTATTTAATTTATCTAAATATAATAAATTAAATAATAATATTTTTATATAATTTTATTTATTAAATATTAAAATATTATATAATATATAATATTTTTAATATTATAATATTCTTTTTATCTTATATTAAATAAAGAACTCAAGCTTATTTTTGAATTAAAAATAAAAAATATCTTTAATAAATTAAAAAATTTTATATAATAAAAAATATATATTTAATAATTATAATTAATAAAAAATTCAAGAATTACATTATTTTTTATTATAATTATTTATAATCTGAAAAATATATAATTAATTTAATAATTTTATTCAAAAAATTTAAAAAAATTTATTAATTTATTTAAAAATTAAAAACTAATAAAATATATTTTGAATATTTTTAGAAAAATTAAAAAATACAAGAAAATTTAAAAATTAAAAGGTTTAAAAATATTTCAGTAAAAATTTTTGAATTTATTCAGATAATTTCTGAATAGTCCAGTAAATTTTAAATTTTAAAAAATAAAACAAAAAAAATTTGCTAAATTTTATTAGAAAAAAACTTAGTTATTTTTTCTAAATTTTAAAATTATTAAGAAAAAAGATTTTCTATTCAAGATTTATAATGAATTTTCTAGAGTTTTTATTGAAATTGTTTAAAAATCTTAAAGTTTTAGTTATATATTTCATGTATATTAGTATCAATATTTTTATCAATAATATTTGTTTATACATTTAATAGCTGAAAATCCATTTCATTAATTTGTATTGTAAGATTTGATATACTTAGTCATTCTGAATATAATGAACTTACTATATAATGGATACTAACTAACTCAGGCTATAGTGATATTGAGCTGACCTATTTATAATTGGATATAATGAATTTATTAATAAAATCATGATTTATAAATATTTGACAATAGATCTGGGCCATTCGTTATATCAAGTATTCTTAATTTTATATATATGTCTAATAATAAGAATTTTGTGCTCAAACATTTATAAACAATGGATTTCAATTTAAATTTTCAAAGCTTTATTTATCGTTATATCAGTTGCAAAATTCATTTAGATGTTCTTTTCAAAAAAGCTTTATAAATGCAATTTTTACATTTAGTAATATCAATTTCCAGCAACAAAAATGTCTATATTTTTCATTATTATTACGTCGTTTGCTTTTTCATGGGTTGATAATTAATAAATTTACCCTTTGTAAACTTTACTGCGAAAAAAGAAAACAATTAAAGATTTCTTTATCCTTTGTAAACTTTACTGCGAAAAAAAGAAAATAATTAAAGATTTTTATCTATATGAAACAAGAATTAAGTTTGAATAAATGGCGTAAAAAAGTTTAACAATTAGAAAAACTAAATCTATTAAAACATTGTAATTATAAGAAAATACTAATATTTTTAGTAATTACAACGACAATTCGAAAATTCAATAAGGTTTGTATCGCAATGATTGGCTCTTTGGTTCCGTTTCCCATTGATTTGAAGAATGAGAGAATGAAGAGATGCGGGAATTCATCTCTGTTTTTTGGTTTTCAGCACATTTGTTGCCTAAAGATAAAATAGTTCAACAATAATTTATTATTTATAATAAAAAATAAATTGTAAACAGAAATATTTACTCACATAATGGTCTTCCAAGTGATCCCTTAAAATAAGTTGCACCAAGATAATCACATTTTGCACACTTAATTCTACAATCTATTCTACTTTGATCTTTCGAAATATGAATTTCGCCATCAGGATCGATTTGAAATGGACGATGACGATTGTGAAGCCTCAAACTATATAAATTCATAAAATCATATTTATTAATTCAGTTTAACAGGATTTCTAGGTACTTTAGATTGCTTACTAAATTCCACAAGCATTACACAATAAGGCGACTCCTTGTAAATCTCGTCTCCATGCTGGAGTGTCTCGAGTACCGCAATTTGCACAACGAAGTGGTTCACCTTGCCGAGTTTTTGGAATTTCGGCATTATTTGTACTTTGAGAATTAACCGATAAAGTCGAAGATGATGTGGTTTGTGTAGTAGCTGAAGAAGTGTTATCGGCAAAATATTTGAACTTTCTGCGCACACGTTTTTGTTCGGATGAATTTTTATTCTTATCCGAAGACTTCTCTCGCATCAAGTTATAAACCTTTTTTCCTTCTTTTTGATTTGATTTCTTTTTGAAGTTTGGCGAGCTTAATTGAAAGGAATCAGAGTAATTTGAAGAACGGAAAGACGGCATAGTAGAAATAGCGGGCATTGATAGATTTGAGTTGTAGAGCCCATTGTTAATCATCGAAAATGGATTTTCGCAACATTGCTCACATTTCGGATCTGAACACGGGAAGTTTAACGTTTCACTCTGTGATTTGCAGTCGTTGTTATTATTTTTAAGATGATATTCTTCCAACTTTGGTTTAACTAAAGACAATTCTGATAATATAAGTGGCGGTAATGTGCGATTTATTTGAATCGAAATTTGATTATCTTTTTTTTGTTCGTAATAATTTTCTGTAGCTTCTGAATTAAGCAAATTCTCAATCTTTGGCGAAACAACAAGATCTGTTGAGTCATTATCGGTTTCGGTATTCATAGATATTTTGTTTTCAATTCTCATCGAATCCTTAGCAGCTTCAACTTGATAATTATCATCTAAGGAACCAGAAGTTGAAATTACATTTTGAACGGTATCGGTTTCTTCCCGAATTGGTTTTATTATTAGAAGAGGATTTTTTAAACTATTGCCAGAAGTTTTTTCTTTTGGGAAATATGTCGAAGGAATTAAGACAGGTTTCTTCGACAAAGAAAGAAGCATTTCGCTTGCTTCGAGTGTGTCCAAGGATATTTCGGTTAAATTTTTATGATGTAACATTTTTATAATGATTGTATTTAAAAATAAAAGTGATTTTGAACAATTTATAATTTTGTATTCAAAATTCAAATAATATTTTAAAGTTCTTCGAGCTCTTCTTCTATTTATAATCAAATATTGACGATGAACATTTAAAATGATGCATTAAATAATTATTAGCCAAAAGCATCATCACTAAAAGCCTAAATCAACTTTTAATGCAACAAGTATGATTTATATGAATCAGTGCTTTCAATCTTTTTTTTAATTATTTTCAAGGCAACTGATTTCTTGATGGTATTTCTTTGCTTATCATTTGATTATTTTTTTCTGTATATCAGTAGAGAATACTTAATATATCGATATTGATTGATTTATACTTCTTTATAATTATGATTGTGGTGCATGTGATTATAAGGAATAGAAATTTGATTGGTATTATTTCGTAAGTTATGATAATTTTAATATCTCATAGATATTGTTGATATAATTGTCAACAATGAAGTACTATTGAAATGCGACTTAATTGTTAAATTACTGTAAACCATGAAACGAATATGGAATTAAAAGTATTTTAAGAAAATGTTTTAGAGAATCAAATCTGCAATGATCGAGACAAAGATTTAAATTTGATCATTGAAAGTTTTAAGATTTGATTCAGCACTTTGGTTTTACGGTAATTTTAACATCCAAGCTGATAAGATTGATACTCATAGTTTCTGCTCATTGAAAATGACACTGATATTAATGCTGAAAAAATACGAAAAAAATATATACATTTATATGAGATACCTTTTACACGTTCATTTAGTAAAACGGTCTTGATATGTATATTTACATGAGATATACATGTCAAACTATTATAAATCTGGTTTGTATTAGAACTTCAAGAACTTTTTTGCCATTAAATGACTCATACTAATTGTAATAAAGTTCGATTGTCTTTTTATTATTATAATGGAAAAATTATGTTCATAGCATATTATATACAAGGACACGATTATTGGAACAAAATTTAAGCCAGAATAAATATAAAATCTGTCAAATTATTTTTTCGATATTCACACAGTATCTCTGACTTAAGGCTGTTTTTCTAAAATGGCAGAATTGTTACATAATACATGTAATTATTGACGATCAACTACTTAACGAAAATTCAATGTTTTAGTGATTGATTAATTGTTTTTATTACTTGATATTTTGAAATCAGAAATGCAGAATCTTTATTCTTAATCTTCATTCTTTTGGCATTATAGAGTCTCCTGATATGAATCAGAAAAAAATAGAAAGTATGATTGATCATAAAATTCAGCTATTTATAAACTTTTGCTAATAAAATGAATCGGACAATTTAGGACGTAATCTCTGCGTTCGACGATCTGATTCTAGCACAAATACTATAGTACTTTTGTTGAATTGGACCATTAGATGTTGAGACCCTGCATCATAAAATGACTGATTCATTTTTATTGAACATTCAAATAGAACCCGGTCACTTTGGACGCGATATCTCGACGTCCAGTAACTCAATTATAGGAAAATTCTACTATTAAATTTGACTAGTCGAGACGAATCTAATAATGGGATTTTCGTGAGAACTGGATCACTGATGTCGAAATTTCGCGTTTTGAGATATCCAAGATTAAAAAAAATTTTATTTAATCGGTCCGACAATAAATTGTGATTACCAGATAAACTAATAGCATCTATTACAATATGAATTAGGATAAATTTTATTAAATAAGCTATTTTTATCACTATAAAATCATATACTATATTTTATATTAATAATATGCTTATATAGAGAGAATTTACTATCCGCACGGAATGTAATGGCGGACAATTTTAGTTGTGTGCATCTGCTGAGATGTGCGCGACCCATAATAAAATCTTACTCGTCACCGTATGCAAGAATCATTCTTTTTTATCACAAAAACTAAAAAAATTAACTCTGAGATCTGGAAAAACTTTTGTCTCACTGCAATTTTTCAAAATTCTTAATAAATTATACTTATATTTATTCTTGCAAATGATATAATATTTATCTTTACAAAAATGCTCAAATTTCAATTGTTCGCTATTTGGATTTTCATATAAAGTCTCTTTAAAAATTTTTGAGGCATAACATAAAATATGCATTTTGTCATGATTTTTATAAAGTTTAAATCTCAATTTTATATAAATTAAAAAAATAACTTTTTAATAAAGTTATAACTCTAAAAGTCAAGTATTATAAATTATTATATTTTTAAAATTCAAACTAATATTAAAAAATTTATTTTAATTTATCAGTATTAAATAATTTTAAATAATATTATAATAATTATAAAAGTCAAATTATTAGTGAATAAACTTTAATATTTCTAAAATAAATTATAATTTTATTTTAAAGAACTACAAAATTTAAGAATTAAAATAAAATTTATCGAAAAATATTTTATTATTATTATAAAATATTTATATATTAAATATATTTTAAATAAATTTGTAATATAAATAAAATTAGTTTTTATCAATGATTTTTCTATTTTCATCTGCTATTTTATATATATTATTATTTTTATATTTTTTTTATCAATTTTTTATTTTAATAATATTAATTTTTTATATTAATTTCTTTATTTTTATTAATATATTTTATATTGAATTTTTTTATTATTATTTTTTCATATTTTATATTTTAATTTTAATTTATTAACTTATTTAATTATATTTCTTATTTAATTATATTTTTAATTTATTATTTTATTTTTAATCTTCTTTTTTTACTTTACATTCTTAATTTATTATTTTTTTTAATTAATCTTTTTAATTATTTTTTTTTGTATTTTTAATTTATTATTTATTCAATTAATTTTTTACTTATACTTCTTTTTATTTATATTTTTAATTATTATTTTATCTTTTTAATATTTATTTTTATTTATATTTATTTTATTTACTATTTATATATATTATTAAATATTTTTATAATTATTATACTTAAGCAAAATTAGATAACTAAAGAGAAATATGCTTATAAAGAGATTTTTTTAATTATAATTAATTAGTAACTGAAAAATTCAAAAAAGATAACTATAAAAAAAAACAATTATAAAATAATATAATTATAAAAAGATTTAATTATATTATTATTGTTAATTTTTATTTTTTATTAATATATTTTTTATATTAATTTTTATTATTATTTATTATTTATATTCTTAATTTATTATTTTTTTAATTAATTTTTTTAATTATTTATTTTATTTTTTAATTTATTATTATTTTTAATCAATTTTTATAATTATATTTCTCTTTTATTTATATTTTTAATATATTATTTAATTTTTTATTTATATTTAATTGATAATCTGTCAATAGATAAGATTTATTGATTAAGTAAATATAGGAAAAAAATTATAATAAATATTACAAACTTCAAAATCTCTACTACCTGTAGTATTAGAAATATGATCTAACTTTTAGCTTATAATAATATAATAAATAATCTTCATTATAATTCTTTTTCTTCAAATTGGTAGTGTTTTTCAAAAAAAAGAGTCAAGTGTATACCTTATCATATTAATTGTCACATTCATATTGAATTAAATTCTCAAGAATTTATAATATATATAGTTTAAAAAGAATATGTAAGTTTTAAGTCAGGATTTATATGTGAATCTGATAGTAGTAGTAAAGTTTACAATTCTTCTTCCATCACAATAACAACTTCTTATATTAAGCTTTTTCCAGAAAAAATACATTTTTTAGAACTTTCTGTTCTGGAATTTGATAATAAAGATATTATTAATGAATTGTTAGAAGATGTATTATTTATTCTATTTTATATTCAATATAATAACATTAATATTTTAATTATTAATACAGATTCTGTTTATAATAATATTGCAGGATCTGGATATCTTATGAGTTTCTTATATATAATTAGCAAGAAGTAATACTTGATTATTCAAGCAATTGATAATAATTACTATATGATTACAGTATACTATCAGCAATAATAATTATATTCATATATTAGATCAACATTCAATAAAGTTTGATAACAGATGACTATTCTTCAAGATTATGATGATACTACTTTGTTTGATTTAAAAGATCCTCAAGTATAAGAAGTAGTTTAATCAGAAAAATATACTGTACAAGATTAAGATAATTTTGAGATAATGAAGAAAGCATGTCAACATTACTTATATAGACAAATAGTAACTTTAAAAATTGATTGGTAATAATTTTTTACCAATTGAAAAATTTAAAAAAGTAATATTATTAAATTTAAATCATTTTTATCACGTATATATCTAGCTAATTATGATTTTAATAAGTGAATACTTTGAGCATGACATGTTATGTTGCAAAATATTAGATGTACTAATATTATCTCTCTTTAATAAATATGAATCAATGGTAAATAAATATTAATATTTTATTAATATATCAAAAGATATTATTAATCATATCTTTATAATATATAACTAGAATTTTGAACTTGTGCTCTCGATTCAGGAGCTGATCAAGAAATACTTACAAACTTATATAATTTTGATTTACTAAATATCAATTCTGATACAAGTTCAGTATCTGATTCAGCAATACAGTTTTGGAAAAGTATGACAAAATCTATCAAAAAAAATAAAAATAGATTAGATGGAAAATAATGTATACTTTCCATAATCACCAAAGATTTTAGATCAAAAGAGCTACATGAAAATTTAAAAATATCAAATAATCTTATATATATAGCCAAATGGTATGCTAAGATAAATAGTTCTGATTATATAGTAATTGAAAAATCCAAGATTATACAGTTACGTATTTTCAAGATTCAAGATGTATAATTTGAATCTTTTTTTACAGACAAGAAAAATATAATGATGAGTTCCTATAAAGTTAAAGCTGAAATAGATTGTAACAATTTTGATTGAATTATCTTCCTTTAGATCTCTTTTAGTTTAGATCTTCATTTTGCGCTATCTGTATAACAGATTAGCTTTGTATTACAT